TGTCTGACCAAACCCTTGCACTGCTGCAAGGGAGCCCAGGTGCTTTGATCTGGGCGTGTTTTCATGCATACCCATGGTTAGATTTGTTCTACCAACCCCCAAAGCATCAACATCTCCAACCTGCTCGGGGGACCGTGTCCTTGCTTCTCACTTGGATGTTCTGGAATCCCCTGAGTGCAATCAGGCTCTCCTTGGGGTGTCTGGCTCTTCTCCAAACTCCGTTCTAGAGCTGAGCAGGAAACTGGGATCTCCCAAGAGCTATTTGGTGGTGGCTGAACAAAGCCATCCATTTACATGTGAGACATTAACAAGCCAGCCTGTTTTTCAGTGCATGTGGTCCCGAACTGGGGTGGCTGCAGAACTGGGGAAATGGAGGCAAGGAGTCTGAACACATCCTGGGGTAAATAAGTTTGAATGAATCTGGAGGTTTTTCCTTTAAAGATGGGCTTAAGATGCTGAGACCTGCTGTGCCCCAGTGGTTTTGCCAATGGGACTGTGCATCCAGGCTGCAAAGATGTAGCATCCTTCTTAGCCTGGCTTGCCCTCTCCTGGCTTTGGAGCTGAGATTGAACCCAGAGGAGTTGTAAAGCCCTGGGAAACTGGTTAATCCTCCTCATTTGGCCTTTCTGTTGAAGAAGAATGGCTGTTTTGCTTGAACGTATTGACACAAGCATAACAAGATCAGGAAGTAAGCAAGCACCCAGGAGAGGGACAGGAAGGGAGAGGATGAGTTGATCACATAAATCACTGCCCTGCTTTGCCCTGGAGAAGCTGCCTTTACTCAGAGGCTGAGAGAAAGCTGCTAAACGTTCGGAGTGATGTTTGCCCCTCTGCTATCAGCGGCGCGCTGCTTAATGGTGTTATCACTGCACTTAGCAGTAATAACACCCAGGCTGGGCCAAGCGGATCTGTAAACAGGACCTGGGGAGGAAGGAGGTTCATGCTCAGCCGCTGTGTTTGCCCAAAGGCCTTGCGACTCCCCAGACGGCCCACACCCTTCCTTTTTCTCCGCCGATAACTGTGCCGGTGACGTCTCCTGTGGGGCTGGTGAGTCTTTTTGGGGTGGCTGTAAAGACCAGCCTCATCCAACGTGGGTGAGGGTGAGCCATGCTGCATGGCCCCAGCTCTGTCTCTCTGCAGGAGAAGGTGGGCGCTGTGGGTATGTGCTGGCTCCACTCAGGAAGCACCGCTCTTTGTTTTCCCTCCTGATCTTCGGTTCTTCGACCTCCTGCCAGCGTTGGGTTGCTCCTTGCTGGGAAGGACCCACTGCCTTTGTGCTTGGGAAGTGCCACCTTCAACACCACCTCCTGCCCTGGCTCCCAGCACATCCCGGAGCCGGTCCTGCTCACGGGCTGCACCTTGTCTTGTCCTGCAAACCCATCCCTCATCTCCAGCCTGGTGACCTCCTGAATGCTTCCACTTCCCAGCTGCTGCATTGACAGGTAATAATTAACTTGGATTCCTCCCCTGTCCCTGACACACCTCAGAGCAAATCACCCAGATAAAAGGCTTATTTTTTTTTTCTAATAAAACAAAACTCGCCCTCAAATAACAGATGATTAAGAAGCAGAGCAGGGGATGCGAAACACTGGTAGCAGCGGGATGGTGACTCACATCTGGCCTTGGCTATGGCCTTCCCTGCTTTTTTTAGAGCACTGATTTCTGATCTTTGAGCTCTTTGGCTCTTCCCCTTCTTGATACTCTCCCTCACTGGCTCTGGCACCACGTGCCTCAGGGCAGGGTCTAGGATCAGGACCTTTTCAGCAGTGGCTGGAGTCCTGGGGTTGGATCTGCAGGGCTGGTGCTCCCTGAGCATGACCAGGGCTGGGTTCTTAACCCTGGCATCCCTTAAGGAGTGATTTTTATCGATGGGGTTCAGTGCTCCCACCAAACCCCTGCAGCACAGCAGCTCCTCAGCTCCCTGGCAGGCCAAGGTGGTTTTTATACCAAAGTGAGACTGGAAGCCCCTGGCAAGATGTGAGAGCCCTGGGGCAACACTTTGCTTTCGTGTAGCTCTTCATTTGCAACGGCTGCCATTTAAACTGTCACCCTGAGGCACATCGTTGTCCCTGTTTCCCACCCCCTAATGTGGATCTGATCTCTGCTCCATAATTGATGCAATGGCAGGAGCAGTCAGTCAGATGCTGCTGGTGGCCTCAGGGCCCAGCCTTATTCTCTGCTCTGACACAGGCTTTCACCCAGCCCCCGTGACTCAGTTTCCCTCCTTCCAGGTGTGGAAAACGGAGCCAACAGCAGTGATTTTCTGCAGGAATCTGTAATGAGGACATGTGTGCAAAGGATCAAGCAGCTCTTGACTAACAGGACCCCTTCACGGTACTCATGTTTGGGGTGATCTCCCCTCCCATAAAGCTCTGTCAGGGAGAGATGTTCCCCAGTTTAACTGGGCTGTGAGGAGGTGTGTTGTGGGTCTGTAGTGAAGGGGGTAGTGATGGAGGCATCAGTCAGCTGCATCGCCTGGTAGCTCAGTGTCCCAGGTAAGGGCCTGGCTCTGTGTCACTAGGACATGGCAATGCCTGCTCTGGGGGTGCATCCGGATTTGGGAGACATGCCTGGGATGCTGGCTTCACTGAGGATTTCTACAGGGATGTTTGGTTGATCTCCATCAGCTTTGGAGATCTCCCTTTTGTGTGCTAACTGACCATGAGCTGCTATGTTCTAGGTAGGCAATCCTTGAGCTCGCAGCAGGACCTGTTTTACAGGGGGCTGTTCTTAGAGCTTGGGGTTTATTTTTATGCTTTTTGGACTTGTGGGTGCTCACTTTCCCTCTTGGGTATGTAGATAAGAGTCACTGGTGGCCGTTTCCCTGTCTGTTGCCTCTCCCAAGATGCATATGTGTCTGAGGAGCAGAACAACAACTCCAGCCCTTGGCTGGAAACCCCTGCTGTCCCTGCACCTGCAGCCTGGAGATGTCTCAGGTTAGCAAGGGGCCATGCAGAGCTTGTGCTCTCCCCAGAGCATTTTGGTTTATCCTGATATGATTGTTTGTGGTTGGATGTTATTGTTCCTGCTCACCCACCACCCAGATTTGGGATTGCCTGTATCAGTGCTGCTTGGGCTGTCGTGGGGTTCTCCTTGCAACCATTGTCAGTTCATTTGGCCCCAGAAATGTCCCTGTGGTCTCTGTCTGGAACAGAAGAGCAATTCAAACTCTGCCCTGCCTGGCTCAGTGCACACAGCCCTGGGAACCTTGGCCCAGGAACCAGCAAGAGTTTGTAGGACGGAAACCCGTTGTGCCCCCCAGGAACAGAGTAGATGATTAAAAGTGTTTTCTGCACCCGTCTGAGCTCAGCAGCTTGGGCTAAAACAATGTCTAGCGTTGTATGTAAGACTGACATCTGTGCACCATTTACGTCTCTTTTCTGACTTAATCTGTAGCTCCTGCAGTTAAAATTAATCAGGCTTTTGTTTTACGAAAGGTGAAGTTTCTGGGGAGAGATTGTATCTTTACCAGATCAATGGGAAAAGAGAGCCAGACTTCTGCTGGGGCAGTGGGGCTGGGAGAGGCTGCCTCTCTGTTCCCAGGCTCGGGAAGGGAAGGATTGACCTCCCCAGAGGTGCTGGATCAGGGCAGTCCTTTGGGGGCAGGGGAAATTGGGGCTTACCCCATCTTCTACCCACCTCAGGAAAAGGCTGCTGGCAGGGAGGCTGGTGTCAGACCAGCCAGAGGCACTGGTCCCTTCTGGCTCAGTGATCTAGGTTTGGAGGGGAAGGGTGGTTCAAAAGGACTGGCAGGGGCCATCAGGTGGAAAATCGCATCACTAAAATTTCAAGTATCGTGATTTCCATTTATTTTTTTTTTCTCTGGCGGATGCACACACGTCCATAGGAAAAGGCTTGGTGATTTCTGCCACCTTTGCTGTGTTCTTTATTGGAACGATAAACCCTGATGTCTCAACTGCACTGTTTTGGCATGCTCTCTCCCAGCCTGGTGGCGTGGGCTTCCCGAGGCTCCGCTGGGACACTGGGTACAGCAGAGGACCCATTTCTACCTCCCCCAGCCCAGGAGTCCTGCTCTGAAAGCCCCCTCAACCAGACAGTGGTTCATGGAGAGCTGCAGGCACCCAGAAGCCTGTGTTGGAGCCCCATTGCTACGTGCCCTGGGGCTGCCCGGGTGCCCAGGGGATGGGCTCACAGCCTCAAAGCCTGCACAGGCTTGAGGGTGCAGCACAAACATCCCTTCAGGGCATGGGAGATCAAATTGGCCATGGCATTGGATTGATTTCTGTGTCACAGGGCCCAGAAGGTCCCTTCAGGAGTTCAGTGTTACAGTGAGAATCAATAAATAATTTTGTGTACAAAAATGTTTATATTTTTTTTTAAAAAAATCATTATTAAAAAAAAAAAAAAGAAAAGAGAAAAACAAATCTCTTCATCATTCCCCAGATTGTATTGCCCATATGATCTTTATGGCTCTTAAGCCCTGATTCAGGAAATCTGGAGAAAAAATTGTGCTTAGAGGAATCCCATGTCAGGGCCAGCCTGGGACAAGATGCACGGGTCTCCTGCGGAGACGACCTGCCCCTCTGCAGGAGGAGGCTGTGGTGGACAAACCCACTCAGCAGCAGTGATCCCTCCATCAACAGGAAGGAAAACAGCAGGGTCTGGTGCAGGGAAGGGTGAAAGGGACCAATATAAATGGGCAATACAGAGAGGAAAGATTAAGATATATCCCGAAGCCTTTGGTGGTCACTGGTTTGTTTTTCACATCTCTGCAGGGGAGTGGTTTCTGACTGGCCATACCAGAAGTTGAAGTGGTTTCCCTTTCCTTGCCTTCCACGCCTGCCTTAGCCCCTCGTACCCGCTGGTCTCCACGTGTGGGCAGGCACTGGCTGTCCAAGGGTGCCGAGTGCCCACTGGAGACTACGTCAGTGGCACGAGGTGAACAGGCTTTTCAGAAGGAAGGTGAGTCTCTTTGCATGAACCAAGGGTAATTACCATGATCCTACTCTGGACACCTTCCTTTCTTTTTCCTTTTTTTCTTTTAAGCTTTAAGAACTTCAGACACACACATGCACATCCACACACAAGTAGCAAAAATAAAATCTGGACTATGTTTGGATGATCTTCACTGACAGTTCATAAATGCCCCAACACTGCAAGGGGACGTGATTCAGGCAGTGCTGGGGACCCCTCGGGACATCTGGGCAGTCTCCCAGCCCTGGGGTAGGGAAGAAGGTGGGTTGGTTGAGGAGGATCTCATCTTCCTTTGTGAGAAAGTTCTTTAGGACATGATGTAGACCTCCAGCAAACTGGCCACTGCATGCATTCGGTAGAAGATCCCAAAGGGCAGGCAAATGTCCACGATAGCCGGCCACATGGAATCACCATAGAAGTTCAGTTCTGTATCATTGTCAAACTGGGGCCGGGCACCAAACGCTGGCATGATCCAGAGCTGTTTGAGAAAACATGAGAATAACAGTGCAGTGAGAAAGGTGTGTGGTACGGTAAGCACCTGTGATCACAGCTACCAAGAGGTGGGAAAAGAGTGACCTTCTGAGCATGGGACAAACGCCAGGAGGCTGTATTTGCATTAAGATCAAGTACGATCTGGTGTTGTATCCTAAGTCTAGTTTCAATTCATGCTCAAAGACAGGTTTGAACTGAGGGCTGAAGCACTCACCAGGGCAGGAACTTGAGCATGTTGTGTCTTAGTGTGAACCTGTCCTGGTTTCGGATGTCTTTGGATGGAGCAAGCATGGGTAGGGCTGACCTGGCAGCAGCTTGGTCTTCCTAGGCTCAGTTGTGTACGTTGAGCTCAGAAGCTCAGCCAGCATGTGTGTCTGGTTGTGTGGGGCTTGTCAGCCCTTTCTTTGTGAGCTTATGTATAAAATCAGTTTGAGGACATGATGTGACTGACTAGCTGGGGATTTGGAGGGTCTCTGGAGACATAACACGTGCTTCGCTTCTTTGGAGGTGCAGCTGTAATCCTACATTTCTTTTTCAGGGAATCGCAGTCCCCTGGGTGTTCATGAAAGTGGAAACCCCAACTGGAGTTGTCAGTGACCAGTTTTCCCTCACAGCAACTGGGATCAAGGTTTGGACTCCAAGGCCATGGGTTTTGAGAAGAGTCATGCTGCCATTTCTCAAGAGAACCCAGACTTCACCCCAGGTTTAATGTATTTTATTGCCTTTAATAAGCTATTTTATGTATCTGCTAATGCCCCATAGAAATACTGAAACTGATTCTTCTCTTTTACCCATCAATTTTATTGTCTGATATTCTGGTGATAAGTGACAGCTTCTGTCAGCATAGACTAAAATGTCTTAACTCCAGGGCAGTTGCTCTTGCTTTTAAGTGACAGAAGAATCACAGCTATCAGCACCTACAAGTATAACTAAGTGTGGTTTTTGTATTTTGGAGGCACAGAAAGGACTGGTTTTGCATGGGCTGAGTCCTTTCCTTCACAGACACTTCTACTTTGTGCTTGCCTCCCTCTCCCCCCACCCAGACAAACTCCTCTCTGCATGTACTCACAATGATGTTGCTCAGCAAGAGGAACACGGAGATCTCCCTTAAGAACTTCCTCCTCCAGTTCATCTTCTTGGGGGCGGTGAGGGACCTCACGAGGTCAGAAGGATGGATGGCTTCAGCCCCAGAGGCAGTGCTAGGTGCCAAGGTGCTGCCACTGTCGGGCACACGGAGGGACACTGCGTTGATGTTGACAAAGGTGAGTCCGTAGAGATCCTTCTGGCGAGAATCGTGCTTGTGGTCTTCCTTGGGAGGTTGCCGATGAAGACCTTCAATAATGAAGATGTTCTGGAAGGTGTGCTGGGCAATCATTAAGAGGGCATAGGTGAGGTTGAGTGCGCTTATAGCGTCCCTTGGTGTGCTGGCTACAATGGCCACAATGGAGTAGTAAGAAATAGCATACTGCCCCAAGGCTGCACCCATCAGCAGGGCCACATCCAAAGTCCTGGTTGGGTTCTTGTGCCGATCCATGTCTCTCTTGTCAAACCGGTAGATGACAGAGCCACCAATGCAGACAAGAGACATCAGGCCCAGACAAACAATGTTGAAGATGTAGTACATGGTGAGTGCTTGGCTCTTCTTGCTGGACTCAGTGCTGGAATTTACCTGCACCTCATAAAGAATAAGGACTCCCAAACCACTCACCAGAATGATGAGGCCCAACACGATGCCTACAAAAAAGGTCCTTCGGAAAAGCCTGAATTTCAGGCGGTGAATGTGGTGGGAGTGGTGGTCTATGAAACGTCCAACGTTCTTCCACATGACATAGACCATGGCAGAGGCAAAGAGGCTGTACTCAATGTTAAAGGGGTACAGCCAAAAGTAGCCGTTCTTGAAGATCTGGCAGATTTGGCTGTTGCAATTGCATTCTTCAGCTGAGCTACTTCTCATTCCCGCTGAAACAAGATAAAAACACATAGATGCAGTGATATTAAAACAAGGAGCCAGACTTAGCAGTCCTAAAGCACTCGATACTTAAGTCAGTGAAAAACAAGACCCAAGGACAGAAGAATCTGTGGCCACATTGAAAACAAGGACACTTCAACCTCAGCTTTCTGGTGCTCGTGTTCTTTCTGAAGAAGTTAGGTGGCAGGTTAAATCTCTCTTTTACCTTCCCTTCTTCAGTTCCCATCCCATTTGTACAGGCCTTTCCACCTTTCTGACTCCTCTATGATACAAGTTAAGAAATGAGTGTTAAAACCTGGCTTTTAACAAACCAGCTCTGTCCAAGAAACCTTCAGGTCTAGATAGACCTTCTGTAAACAGTTAAAACCTGACTTGTAGAACAATTTCTACCTCTTGGGCTCCCACCCTGGACCAGATGGCTCCACAAACGGGCAAATTACCTCTCATGAGCCATCTGAAGATTTCCTCTGTCACGTTCTTCTTCAACTTTGAATGTGCTTTGTGGACGGACTCGTCTGTCACTGCTGACATCCACACTGCTAAGTTTGTAGTCAGTGTCAGCATCAAGCCACACCTGCAGAAGAAAAAGAAAGTTTGTGAGATTAAAGCAATGGCTCTAGGCTGTGTTGCTATGATCCATGTTATAGATGTGCTCATGCCCAGAGGGACTGAGGGAGCTGCCTGAAGTGGTGCAAGGACTCCAGTGGTCAAGGTGAGAAAGCCTGACCCTCGCTTTGCTGCTCTCACTCTCTTCCTATTTTTTATCCATGCTCATGAGAATCAGCAGGGCCTGTTTCCCCTTGTTGGTTTTGGAAGAGCTTTTCAGCAGTGAACAGATTATTAGGTCTGTCTTGATCTCCAGTAGGTCCAGTCTTGCAAAAGTGAACAAGATTCTGTTTTAGCCCAAGGCCTGCCCACTGCTTCGTTGTCTTCCCCAAGGAAGCAAAAGTCAGCTATGAATCATTTTGTTTAATGCTAATTGTTTATTTAATACTAATCTGCTTTGAGTAATGCTTGTATTCTTGGGTTGAATCCCAACCCTGCTAGATCCATAGGTCACGAACCTTCACTTCTTGAGCTGCTATCTAGAGATAATTGGAGAGTTGAGCAGGTTCAGTTTTGGCCAACATTGAGGGAGATGGGATTATTCCCTTGTTGCATCTTAGCTGTGCGAGAGAGTGCAGTGGGTTTGTAGTGGGCCCAGGGCTTCTGGGCCAGTGGGACTCAAAGCAGCAGTGCTCACCTGGTAACGTTCAGGTGTACGTGGACACAGTCTTTGGCAGAGATCCACAGGAAGTATGTCTGGCAGGGGTAAGAAAATAAGTTGTTATTTCCAACAAAGCAAGAAAGCAAATCACGTCATTCTGAAGTAGGGAGCTCCCTGCTCGGCAGAGAGCAAGCTGGACCATTTTTCACTTGGGGCCATCTGGGTCCAGCCTATGAGCCCATAATCCTGCCCATTTACTGGATGTGGTCTGTTCTTTGCTCCTCCTGCCCTGTCCCACTGCCATTGCTCTGCCCATGGCCAGCCCCTGTTCCTGTCTAATTTGTCCCTATCTAACCTCTTCCCTCCTTGCTATTGTCCTCTGTGTAGGACTTCAAACTGCAAGGCAGTCCCTGCCCTGACTGTCCTCCTCCCTCTCTATCCTTCATGGGACAGGAGACCTGGCTGGATGGGGGCTACTTAGACTTTGTGATGAGCCATCCTGGCATAAGCCAAGATTTCACAGGACAGGAACAAGTTTAAAACAATGCCTTAAAGTGAGTTGCCACAGCTGGAAGTTGTGGTTGCAGGGAGGAGATATTTGCTGAGGACGGGTCGGGGACAAGTTAAACCGCTTGCATTTACTGCAGAGGGAGTTGAACTATGTCTGTGAGATCAGAGCTCCTTCACCTGGTGGCTCTGTGTCTCTACCTCTCCCCAAGACAGAATGCGACCATCTCACCTGGATGACCACGAATATTGCTTGCACAATGGGGTAGATTATTTTGATTGCAGACAGGCAGCTGTAGAAGCTCGAGTAATATCCTATTTTGAACACATCCATGACAAGGCTGAAAATGGCAAAAAGGATCAGGCCTCCTGTAGAGGAACCAAAATACCTGTGGTCGGACAGATGTAGACGAGAGGAAGAAGAGGAACTATTGCCATGGAGAGGCTTTGCTTCTACTCCCAGCACCCAAATTAAGTTGGCACCAAACAGAATCATACAATAATTTTGGCTGGAAGGGGTTTGCAGTCAACCCTGTTCTCTGACTGGGGCTGTCAGCTCTTGCAAGCGTGATGGTAAAGCTGGGAATAACCCAGAGGTGAAATAGCAAGAGCCCATGCAGGATAAAGGGAGACCTGGCACTGAATCCGGTGGGGGGACTAGGAGCTAACCTAGTTTGGTGCCATGACCCAGCATAGGAGGAGGAGACTGTGCCCCTGATGCCCCCATGAAATGTCCACCCTGAGAGCCCCCCCAAGAGCTCCTACCTCTCAGCCAGATGGGTCCAGCGTGGGAGTCTTTGCAGGGGATGGCACCTGGGCACCGGGAGGTGCCGAAGAGGTAGAAGATGATCCATATGATGACTATCAGCATCATGACAGTCAGCAGGAAGAAGACATCGTAATCGTGCACAGCGATCTTCTCAAAAGCCCCGCTGCTCACCAGCGTGCAGGCCAGCAGGGCTAAGTGCACGGCCAGCAGGATGGAGAACATGCGGCCGCCCTTTTTCCACACTTCCTTGGAGGCAGGAGTCGAGGGGGGCTGATGAGGCTGGTGGCTGAAAGACGTTATCTGGCTTGAAGCCAGGCTGGCTTTGTCATCCTTGTGTCCGCAGCCCATGCCGGAATTGGGGCGTCTGATCTCGCTGTCCTTCCGCACGGGCTCTTCGGTCATGGTTCAGCCAATGCCTGAGCTGAGGGTTAACGCTGTTGGGAGGAGAGCCCCATGAATGAGAGGCGTCACTTCATTTTGAATAGTCCAGGACTGGACCAAAGCAGGACATGTGATGAGGAGGAGAGGACGTATCAGAGGAACAGGGAAGGCTGAGACAAGGAGCGCAAAAAGAGGGATGAGCTCATTTTCAACCTTTCTCTTCCCGGTTCCCTGAAGGTTGTATTCTTGCTTAAGGATGCTTTTGCTTGAGAAGATCCCCGGTCAGTTTAACAAAGCACAAGTAATTTCTCACGCAACATTTAGGTGTTTATTGATGTGAGATATTGGAAAAGCACCAGAAAAGCACCCACAGGATCAAATATCCTGGGGCAAACGGCCAATGTGGTTTGGTTTCTAAATGTCAACCACTAAACATTTCGAGCAAATGTCATACTTCCTGGCTAGGGAACAGGCCACTTGAAAGGCAAGAAAGCCCTGGGAATCTTTGGATTCATGGTTTATACCAGTCAGGATGTGAGCTATTTCCGCTGTCACTCCCTCTAAAGCCCCTCACCTGTGCCAACCTTGGGACTTCATTGATTCTCAATGGAAAACCTGAAACAAAGGAAATTAACTATTCAAACAAAGCCAGTCCACCAACCTGGTTTGCTGTCGGGAATCCAAATCTCTCCTCTTGCCAGGCTGTTGGAGAAGTTTCCCCGTTGCTGCAGCTTAGTCAGACGAAGAATTTATATGTGTTGGGATGTCTCCGTGATTTATACCATGTCTGGAGGTGACAGCAGTACTTCATGGGCTTCTCAGAGAAACTCATGTGATCCATTTTGTGCAATAACTGATTTTGGAGAAGCAGGAGAGAGATGAGGAGATAAGGGTTATTTACCTGGGGAGGGCATGAGGTGACAACACTGCTAAGCATGGCATGGACCGCTCAGTCGCAGGGTCATGGTCACCACAGAGCAAAATCACCCCACCAAACCCATCTCCCTACACACATGAGATGTCTTCCCTTGAGAGATGATTTAGGTGAGGCACTTATCTTTGCTGATGATTTTTGGCTTGGCTTTCTATTTAACTGAGTACAGTAAATATTGTGCCTCACCCTGTACTATTCCCATCAGTGTGCTCTATGCCTGGAATCTTTTTGAGGAAAAAGAAGAAATTTGCATTTGTATTTATTCAGTGCCAAGGGCAGCTCAATCTTTTCTCACTCATGGTGACAACAATGAGGAAGGGTTAGTACTAGAATGGGGCAGGATTTGGGGACTGGAACCCATGTTCCCCTTGGCTGACACACTGCCTTTGACTTTTCAGGTCGGAATCACCTTTCTCTGGCCTTCAGGAGCTTAACTTCCCTCCTTTCAAGGAGGAAGAAGTCATGTTACAAACCATGGGATTCAAGCATTTGCCAGGTGAGGGCAGAGTTTTTGCTCAAGATCTCTTTTACCCTGTTATATTTCGGTGGGGGACATAAGAGGACCCAGGGCAATTCTGGTTGGATGGGGCAAGTTCTTTTCTTTCGTGAGGATGCTTCTTTTGGAGATGTCCCTGCTGCTTGTCTCCTCTGGGGCAAGCACAGAGATGGGGCAGGTTGCTGTGCGTTTCTCTGTCCCGTTCCTGCCTGCTCACCCCTGTGCTCCTTCTTGCAGCACTACATCCAGAGCATCAAACTGAATGATGTGGGATGGTGAAGGAGAGCTCAGGATCTGCTCTTCAGCCCAGGGACACCTTCATGTGTCTTTCCCGTGCTGCCACCAGCCGGCTGCCACCAGCAGTACTGGGTCTGCTCTGCCTTACCCCAAAAAGGGAGCCCTAAGGATCGGGTGAGTGGTTGATCTCTTCTCAGTCTGTAGCCTTTCCCAGGGGAAGCCCAGGCTCCCCTGTGGTGAATCTGAGCTGATAATGGTGACGTTTTGCAGAGGCCCCAGGTTCAGAGTCCCCCTGGGCTAAATGCACTGATTTATCAACAAGTGTTTACTGCTTTGGGCAACGCTCCCAGTCCCCCCGGGAGCTACCATAGAGCATAACAAGCTTAATTACTAATAATACAGGAATAATTAAATAACCTCGGTAATGAATTGCAGACATTACTATGTGGCTTTTCACCTTGAAGGATCCCAGGGCCAAATACCTCAATGTTTGGTACCCCCTGTCAGGACCCACCCAGGGAGGCCGAGCAGGTGAGGATGAATCTGCCGACGTGAGCAAACCCTGTGGGGAGCAGACCCTCCCTCTGGTGCTCTTACAGGTGTCCCCAGGCAGCTGGGATGGTGACTCCATCAAAAAAAGAGTGGCACCCACTCTTTTCTCCCTTTCTCACCCATCTACTGGGTCTGCCTTTCCCCTCTCCAAACCCTGTATGGTGTCCCAGGGCTGTGGTGGCAGATGGAGGGTCCAGCCCCAGACATCTCCATCCCCAGAACCAGGGCACAACAGGCAAAAGGGCACAACTCCTCAAGAGAGGAGCAGGAAATTCCTCCTCTGTGACAGCATGTCCCAGGGGATACGATTCACCTTTGGGAGCAACGTGCTGTGACAGCCCTGGGCTTTGGTCAATGTCCAGGCTTGGCTCCATCTCTCCCGTCGGCAGAGGGTGCCCAGGGCCGGGAATGCTGTGCTGGAGGCATTGCCTGGGACCATCCAGCTCCCTACAGCCCAAAATTCCATGTCAGCATAAAAGACACTGGAGGCCAGACACTGCCCCTCTATATTCGTGGTGGAAGTACTGAGCTATGGACAGGAGCAAGTTCAGTTTTGGGGCTTTTTACTCTCCAAAGAGATGAGGAAGGGATTTTTTCTAGCCCGTGCGAGTTACTTTGGGTTATCACAGATTCCTGTTGCGCCGTTTGTTGGGCAGTTCTTTAGAAAACAGAGTCATGTGGGCAGAGGCAGGGTAGTGAGGGGACAGGGATGGTGACTGGGTCTGCTCTTGTCTTCCTAGTGACACTAGAGCCTTGTGTGTATATACATAAAAAACTATTTTTACCAGGAAAAGCTGAACTGTGAACGCCCCTCGGGTTGCTTTGAAATGAGGGGTGGTCACCAAACTGCTCTTGGCCGTCTCTACCCAGCACAGGAGCATCCCTCCAGGTCCCAGCTCCAACGGGGCTGCGAGTGGAGGCAACGGGGGCTTGTGCTCCATCAGCCCATGCTTCCTCCTGTGCCTGCTGCCACCCCTCACTCGAGATGGGGTAGATATAGCAAGGGCCATGTGGGTGCCTTTCTGGCAGCCTGGTCCACTTAAGGGACACACGGACCTGGCGAGGTTGTCACTGTGTGACCCTGTGCCCGTACTGCTCGGCTGAGCCCGACGCAGCGATGCTGCTTAATTGGAGCTTTTAATGTGCCGCGGAGCTGGTGCGTGAAAGGTTTGTTGCGAGGAGCCGGAGGATGCTTAGGACCCAGGGGAAGCGCTGAAGAGCCTGGCTGGCTGGGCTTGGAGGAGCTCCTGCCTCCCAGCCAGGACTTCTCAGGTGTCCTGGTACGGCGGCGGTGCTGTGCGAGGTGAGCTGGGCCCTCCTGGCAGCTCCCCCTTCCCCACACCCATGCCCATCCTCTGAGCCCCCCCCGGGGCACCCATGCACTCGCCCAGGGACCCATCTGCACCATGAACGACCAGTACCACCGAGCAGCCCGGGACGGCTACCTGGACCTCCTGAAGGAAGCCACCAAGAAGGATCTCAACTCGCCGGATGAGGATGGCATGACCCCGACCCTATGGGCCGCCTACCATGGCAACCTGGACGCCCTGCGCCTCATTGTCAGCAGAGGGTGAGCATTGGCAAATGCAGGGGGCTGGTCCTGGGGGACAGAGTAGCTGGGACCCCATCTTTCCCCCTTCCCCCACCGGCAGGTCAGCATGGGGTGCAGGTGCCCCACAAAATCATCTCTTCTGTCCATATCACCCCTGCTCCCCTCCTCCTCTCTGTTATTTTTCTCTCCTTGTGGTGCTTTGAGTCTAATCCAGCGCTCCTGAGAACTGCTCTTTGTTTTCCCAGCTCCTCTGACCCTATAACTGCTCCTGCCCCGAACCCCGCTTGCAAGTCCCCACTTGGGGCTGGGTCCTCTCTGAAAGTACTTTTCAATCCTGAGTCAGGTCCCATAAAGACAGGCAGAGCTGAAGTGCAAGCACATCATGTCTCTGCTATGAAAAAAGCCCCTTTAAATGAGGGGGCAGAGAGAATAACTGCTCCTTCTGTCCCAAGAAATGCTGTCGATGTGCGTGGTGCCAGCTGACAGTAGGTGACACTTGTCTGTTTTACCCAAAGCAAGGTCTGAATACGTGACCCCCAGGCAGCCTGTTGTGCACCTGGAGCCCAGGAAATTCAGGAGCATGTTCCCCAAGAGCAGATTTCCTCAAGCCCAGTTTTCTCCATGGAGGCTGCTTGATGCTGGTGTGTTTCTCTCGGTCCCTCGCCCTGGGATGCCAAATCTGAGGGTCTCTGGCTCCATCAGCCTGGAGGTGGTGGAGAGAGGGGAGTGGGATTGAGGGGGCTTTTCAGGTTGGAGAGCTCTAGGTCTTGGTGCTGGGGGAATTGTAAAAGAAGGTCTGCTCAAGGCAAGAGCTGCCATACCTAGTTCCTTCCTGAGCAGAATGTGGCTTCTGTTCTTACCTCCCTCCCATGGGAGCACATCCCAGCACTTCCTTCCCACTCCAGTTGCTTTTCTGAGTGCCTCATCTCAAGGTATCCAAGATGGGGTGGTCTCTGCCTTGTGTTGAGAGATCGGTGGTGGTGCTGATTTTGATTTATTTCTCTCTAATATTGAGGAATAGCATTGAGGTCGGCTGCCTGGATGTACATGATGCCTCCTTGGAAGGGCTTTGCTTCTCCGTGTCAGGTCAGGGCTTGGTGGGGCTGTCAGATCCCAAGCAGGGATTTTCCGTGTCCACCCTGGGCTGTGTTTGCGGCTCTCACGCCTCCTCAGCCACATTTCCACTGTGCTTGTTCCTGGGGTCTCAGCACCTCCTCAGACTCTGTCTATTCTGCTTGTGCAAAACCTCCAGTTGGCTCCCCTGCCCCAGCCAGCTGTACTTACAGGCAGAGTTCCTACACACATGGCTGTCCTTCTGTTGTAAAGCAATTTTCTTTCCACATCCTGAAGTCAGAAAGGCTGTGTACACTTTGAGAAGTCCTTGAGTGCCTGATGCACCTCCTCAGACTCTGTCTATTCTGCTTGTGCAAAACCTTCAGTTGGCTCCCCTGCCCCAGCCAGCTGTACTTACAGGCAGAGCTCCCACACACATGGCTGTCCTTCTGTTGTAAAGCAATTTTCTTTCCACATCCTGAAGTCAGAAAGGCTGTGTACACAGTCACTTCGAGAAGTCCTTGAGTGCCTGGGGCAATAGGGAGTGTGGTCAGGAAAAGATTATTCCAGCGTCCAGAAGCAAGAGAGCAAGACTTTGCTCTGAGTGGTGCATCCTGAGATGCCCCTGGGCTGAGAGCCCGTTGATGCTTCCCTGGGGTGGGGGCTGTGTGATTTAATGTGTACCTTTCAGGAGGGACTGTGCCCAGCAGAAGCTTGCTCTGAGCCCCTACCGGGAGGGGAATTGCCACTCAGGGCCAGAGAGATGAGGGCAGGAGGTTTGTGGATGAGAACCTAAAGTTAGAGATGCTTCACCTGACTTTCTATCTCTTTATAGCATTAGATGTCCTTATATTGCCCTCCTCCATCACAGGACACCCTGCAGCACCACTGCCTGCCCTGCCAACCCACACATTCAGTTTCTGCCTCTCCACGAAGCCCAAGGGCTGCTT